CTGGTGGATCCTCAATAATCCAAATCTAATTCAAATTATTATCATGAGAGTGATGAGATATTAAGTTAAAATAGTTTTTAATGATTAATGAGATATTAATAACTTGAGATATGATGGGGAAACTAATATGTCATTGTTGTTTGTGATCATATTTTGAGTTTGTTTACCATTGTGAATTACTTTTTGTCCATAGAACTATTTGGGCCTGGGTTTTTGTTATGCATTCTCACATTCTTATTAAAGGTAACAACTGCCTAATATTTATAAACTGTTGTTAGAGTAGTACATTGATAATTTATTAAAAGAACTTCATGTGGATATTGCATGAACTTGAAGTGATTCTTGATGTTTCTGGATGTGGTCAATGGGTGTTAGAACGCTTAAACTTAACTATTTGAGTGCCATCAATTCTGAATTCAACTCTTTTCATTTGAAAACTTAATATTTTTAGTGTATAAAGATGTCATTTGAAATTATGCATAAGTTCTAATAAACATGTCAGTTAGGTCACATAAATTTTGAGAGAGATATTTTAATGACATATTACTTAGATTCATACTCAAATAATTGATGTATCTGGGCTCTATGGAAATGGGAGCTACTTTTTCTTTTGTTTATTCACATTCTTCTTTTGCGATTATTCACATTCTTTTCATACCAACTCATATCAAATCCCTTTTTTCCATCAATCTACTATCTATGCATTTAGTATAAGATAAGTCTGCTAACAATTGAGCCTATTACTATCTCTTTCATATGTAGTGCTTTTATGCATCAAGAGATAAGCTTGCTAACAATTCAACGAGAATTTTCTCTCTCTCATATGTAGTTCTTTTCAGTATAAGATAAGTCGGCTAACAATTGAGCGGAATAATTTTCTCTCTCATATGTAGTACTTTTAGATATAAGAAGATAACTAATTGAGCTAACAATTGAGTGGGTAATTTTCTCTTTCATATGTATTGTTTTTAGGTATAATAAAATAAGATGACTAACAACTGAACGGGAGAAATTTCTCTCTCTCATATGTAGTAGTGTTAGGTATAAGAAGATAAGCTTGCTAATAATTAAGATGGGGAAATTTCTCTATCATATGTAGTTTTTTTAGGTATTAGAAGATCTTGCTAATAATTGAGCGGGGGAACTTTCTCTCATATATATATAGTTCTTTTAAGTATAAGATAAGCGACTAGCAATTAAGCGGTAGAATTATGATAATAGGTAGTATAAGATAATCTGGCTAATAATTGAGCAGAAGAATGTTCTCGCATATGTAGTTCTTTGAGGTATAAAATAAACCGGGTATCAAATGAGTAGGACAATTTCTCTCATATGTTAGCACTAATAATATAACTAATGATTAACAAGTTCTTATTTAACTAATAATCTGATTAAATATTTATTTTATTTACTTAAATTGTATGACATTCATTTATTGTACTCACTTTTTAGAATAGTACTAAGTATGTAATTTTAAAATTAATATAACCATAAGAATTAATATGTACCAAATTAAAATGAGTGGTGTCAATCGATTTTCTCTAATATACTGTTCATTAAATATTTATCGCATGACTTACACTTATGATATTAGTTTATTGTACACTTATTTTTTGAAAATGTAGAATCTTAAAAAGTTATTTTTATTCTAATATTTAATTACATCATGAGTAAAAATATATGCACAACTGATATATCCCGTGCGTATGCACGGGTACTATACTAGTTGTCTACGAAAGGAAAAAAGACCACACAAAGGGACAACCAAAGTTTGTGCAACGCACAATGTTCGTAAAACCAAATCGTTTTTTATCATGGTGCTAAGAGCATTGCAGCGTCAGTTTCCCAGGATACGATGACAAATGAACAACTCTATTGAGCACACAATAAGTTATTTCGGCGAACGGAAACAAAGAATAGAACTGAGGGAGTTTTATCGGAAGGTTGAAAGAGGTTTTCGTTTGAAAAAATCAATGTATAGCTCATCGGGTGTATTCTATGAGTTCAGTGTTCTCAGTGTGTTGTTGACAAACACGTGTCAGTCATTTATCGGTGTAAAAAAAATCCACTTTTGTAAAAAAAATGCAATTTTTTCTTAAAATGCCAAAAAATGACATATGACTCTTTGATGACTGGAGGTGGTGGTGCTAGGGGTGGCAGAGGCGGTAGTTTTTTTTAAATAAATAATAAAAAAATTAAAAAAAGAATAAAAAATATTATGAAAACATTAAAAAAAATTACAAATATATATGGATTCCTTTGAGCCTTTCCGACCAGTGTAAAAAAGTTCCATTTTTGTAAAAATGTCATTTTTTATGAAAATGCCAAAAGCATGACATATTACTCTTTTATAATGCCAAAATTTTCATGGAAACTGCCATTAATATGACATTGCTAATGAAAGTGGCATTATTTTTTTGGTGACTGGGAGTGGTTGTGCTGGGGGTGGTAGAGGCGGCGGTGATTGTTTTTAATTTTTATTTAAAAAATATTTTATGATTTTTGTACAATATTTTATTATTCTTTTTGATTTTTTATGAATTAAAACATTTCAAAAGCTACACGGATCACACATAATTAGTCCTACCGTGAATAAAAAATGTGTCGTCCTATTTGTAATCGTGGACTACCTTTTACTCATATTTATAATATATCAAAATAGGACTAATTTCATAAGTATCAACATTTATTTTTTCCGGAACTCCAGTGGGGGATTTCTAGGTAGTTTAGACATTCGTCCTCCTTCCTCACCTTCCCCTTCCCCTCCCACCATCTCTAATTTTGTTATTTTTCAAGGTTTTTTTATTTAATTTTTTTTATTTCAAGGTTTTTTTATTTAATTTGATATTTATTGGTTTATTTTTTATTAGTTTTGAATATGAAAATGACATAATTATAATTATTTCCCATAAAATACCATCTATTGGAAATGGATTTCAGAATAATGTCATTGCCTTTATAATATTCCTTCTTTGAATTTGAAAAGGCCACTATGAGAATGAATGTCATTTCTATGATCTTGTGTCATGTTTTTCAAACTAAATATGTCACTTTTATTTATGTGAGGATGGAAACAATATAATGTCATTACAATGATACTTCAACCGCAAGATGTCACTTACCTTTATAATATTACTCCTTTACTTCTGAAAATGTCACTTTGAAAATGAATGTTATTTTTATGGAACTAACGTTACAAAGATGACAATACTACTGATGGAGTATATTGCCATATATCTCAAGAGTTACAATATTTAAGATAAAGGATATCCAAAATCCTCTAAGGCAACGACAATCGAGGCCTATCTCGCCGAGGCCGAGCTCAAAACTAGTTCTCATATCATCGAGGTAAGTCCAAAACTGCATTCGAGACAGAGGCCGACCCTCGCCGAGGTATACGACGTACGATTCCAGCACTACGTCCGAGCTCCAAGCCAATTACCGTGTTACGAGCTTGAGATCAATAAATATATTCCTGCTTCGTAATATGAGTCTAGGCTCCCCACCTCTCAGTTAAACACACTACATCCGAGCTCGACTTCTGCGACCAAGCTCAGGACCTCAGATAGAAATTGTGGACCTGGACATTTTAGCACTTAGATACCACAATGTTCAGGATTACGTCATCACACGACAGTTGTCCCTAATTCAATTGAACCAATCAATTAGATATTATCTATCCAATTAGCTTTACATGTTTCAATAGACTAGTAGGGTAGTTACTTGTTATTCTTCCCCAAATATTTTCTTGTACGCTATAAATATCACTTTCCACCTGATTGAAAGGGAACGCATTTCTGATTCTCAAGCTTACTATTACTCTGCCAAATTTCTTACTCAATCTACACTTTGCTTATTTCCGACTCTCCCTTGGTTTTGCCTGCCCGGTAAATCCATCAACTACTTCTTTGGAAAGACAGTAGTGCCATATTTCTCAAACTAAAAATGCCATCTTATTTCCGTCACGATGGCAATGATGTCATTGAGATGGCACTACAACTGCAATATGGCACTACTTGTATGATAATCATACCATGTCTCAGGTTAGATCTGTAATAATCGGCTCAGTGGAGGAGCAGTGCTGGATGGCACACTATTCACATAGGTGAGGCACGGTGGTGCTAAATTAGGCAGTGACATCGTCGTCGAATGTGGTGGGAATGATGCCATATATGGCGGTAGGCAGAGGCAACGCTGGATGAGGTGGTATAGAAACAGATGGCGCGGTGATGTCGGTGGAGGCGGCGGTGACACTTCTGGTGGCAGTTGTGCTAGAGATGAGTATGGTGTTGTGCAAGAGAGTGACATCGTATGTTTGGGCCTGCTATCTTGTTTTATTTCTATTAGTCACTCTGGTGCCTAATAAACTTCAGACTTTGACTTTACGGTGTTTGAAAAGGTGGATTTTTTACTTTTGACTTTCCCATCATACCCTTCAAAAAGTAGATTAGATGTAGTGGGAGAGAGAAAATGGTTGTAAAGTAGGTAATAAATTAAAGGTATTGTTGAGATAATTGGCCCAATACATATCGTCCCAATACCCCATGAAGGATTGACGCTAGGAACTGCCAAGGTCCACAGCCGTTTGGCCCAGCTTGAGCAGCGCGCCCTGTGCGGGCTCTGCCTGGCCTCTTCCCTTAATTTCGCCAGAGTTCATGGGATCCTCAACCGGAGTGCTCGGAATGGTTGGCAGGAAAGCAAAGGATTTAGGCAGGAAACACATTTAATGCAGCAGATACACAAGATCTGGTGGTTGGGGGATTAGCCATTCATAATCTTCCACATCACCACTAACACCTACCTCATGGTAGTATACATAGTAGCATTTATTTCATTTTTAGGGGTTGGCAACTTGTACTCACTACATTTGACTTCTAATCTTATGTACTAGCTCACAATTTAGACTCGTTGCTCGACCTCGTCGTTAGTAGGGTGTGTTGTAATCGTTCCTAAGTGCTTAATAAAAATTTGGGTCACTTAATGTCTCTCTCTTTACTTGCTAATTAAGTACTTGTGCCTCAATATTCACACTAATCACTAAAATAGAAGTTTATATTAAGAACCCAAGGGACATTTTGGGCCCTTGAAGTTGGATGAATAAACCGCATTACCTCAACAGGTATCAAAGTAACTTTATATTAAGAACTTACCAAAAATAGAAGTATGAAGTTTATTTTGGATTTGTCCAAATCGGAAAGTGTGAAGTTCATTTAGGATCAAGGGGTAATATTTTATTTGTATTTTTAATGAATAAGTTGATTTATTTATTAATGCATGGTAGTTTTGTCAATGCAACTCTTTTTACTCTTTGGAAGCATTGGTGTCTTATTGTTAATTTTTAACATGTTGTACTCTTAGGAAATTATATTATCTTGATTATCTTGATGATTAATTCCTTTTTAATCCACATATTGGGGGTGTTTGGTTAACGGCGTTTTAGCCGAAAAATAGCGGTTTGACCACTTTTAACGTTTTCAATAAGTGAAAAAGTTGTTTGGTAAATAGCTCTTCGGCAACCGCGTTTTTGGACGGAAACGCCAAAATGAAAACACTATTAATAGGAGAGTTTTGGCTTGACGTTTTGAAAAATGGTGTTTTCTACTAATTTTATGGCCAAAGTGCTAAATTACCAAACATCTTTTGACAACCCACCAAATTATTCTACTAGTCAAACTCGCTGGCTGAATCCGATATTGACAACACGCTAACATATCTCGCTAATGAACCTGGAGGAAAAGAAATGATCACGTTTTTATTAATTTTATTTTAATACTTGCTAAATTAACTATAACACAGGAGGTAAACAACACTGTGATCGCTTGATCCTTAATTATTTTACATTTTCCACTTGTTTGAATATACAGTACCTGATATAATAATGATATAATCCCAAATAGTTTGTGAGGGGGTGGTTTCACGACTTATACTTACAATGAGCTATCACATTGGATGAAACCCCACACAATCGTCCTCGAGAATTAGACATCAGACGTACGACTTCAACACCGAACCACACCACACACGAACCATTGAACTGCGGATAATAGTACTGGTACCCAAGCAACGCAGCATGCAAGGTGACTAGCTAGTTTAGCTAGTTCCTAATTATTTATTCAACCTATACGCACGGTCTATATATATGTACCTACTGGCCTCCTTGGCTTCGAGAGCATTATTTCCTCTGTTCTTCCTTCTCCTCCTTCTCGTCTTCCGGGTTTTCAAAAGCGGAAACCGGGAAGGTCTTGCCAATGCCCAAAGGACTCTTGAAGTAGATCTTCCCGGTGGGCGGATCGTCCACCGAGATCTCGCTGATGGTGACCCACAGGAACAGCTCCTTGGCCTTCACCCCCGTCATCTTCTTGATCTTCTTCTGCTCCACATACGCAGTAACTTCACTTCCATACTGGGCCAGCTTGCCTATCTTCTCAAACTTGTGGTCTGTGTTTTTCTTGGATTTGAACCACACAAACCCGGTGTCCTTTACATAGCCAAATTCCTCCATGTCCTGTAGAGGCAACAGGCCTGTGGGTAAGCCTACTTCTTTGAGCAAGCCCTTGGCTTTGTATTGGCACAGCGCATTCCCTTTACAGAACTCTGTTGCATTGGCCCTCATCTCATCTGTCACAGGACACGACATTTTCTCTCCCTGACCTTTGCCTTTCAATTCCCACCCTGGCCTTCATTTTATAGGAGAGCAGTGGATAAAGATTACCAAATTTGTTCACTTTACATGCAAGTATTGGGACATATCATTGTGGTATTTCCTTTCCCATGTCTAAAAAAAAAATTGGGACATTGTGGGCCATAGGTTTTATTATTGAATTCAAATAATTGACACTTACTTAGCTTCATTCTCATTTAGTTATTTCATTATAACTTTTGTTGGAAATTAACTCATTACAACATGAAAGTTACCCTAACCATGCCAGTTTGCTAAGGGCAATTTTTTGTGCTTTATATACGAACTCTCCATTTGTAAGAGGTAAAATGAAAGGGATCGACAAGAACCCTAGCCTCCCGTAGTCCCGTACGTATATGGGATTTCAGGCATCATTTGAAACAGGAGTAGTACTTGTACTTTTAAGGGAGATTTCCCTATATACTACTATCTCCGTCCCTCTAAGTTTGGGACAAAAGAAGGTGACAAGGTTATTAATAAAAGTGAATTTATGTAATTGATATTGTTGGGATATATTATCCCAGCCTATTACTGTTCAGGAGTCCAAGACATTATCCAGTACGGAGCCCGAGCAGCTAGGCCCATTTCGGCCCATTAGGCCCAATATCGGCCCATTAGGCCCAATATTGGCCCGTTTGGCCCATTAGGTGGAGAGCACCCTTTCCCCTTTGTCTATAAATAGGGAGCTTAGCCTCCATGTAAAGGATCCTTTTCTTCTTGCTCCTTCTCTCTAGATTAGCTTTATCCTCCATTAATGAAGCTTCAACATTTGTACCTTGTAATGGTGAGGAGAGTCCTAATGAAAATGAGAGGGCTTGGACATTAGCCTAAAAAGTCCAGTGGTTTTCTCCCTTTCGGGTTTCCACGTAAAAACTGAGTGTTCATACACATTTATACATATATTTACTATATCGTGTTGGAATAAACATAACAGATATTGAATTGATAAAGTAAGAATCATTTAGAACCACACAAACTTTACCAAATAAGGTATGGGACAATCATAGCGGGATGGAGGGAGTAGCAAATAAAAGCAAAATTGTAAGCAAATAAAAGCAAAATTGTAACCATAGAAGTTTAAAGTTTAAATTCCTAAAATATAACTAATCATTCCTATTCTATCCTTTCCCTTGTCATATTCAATAGGATTTTTTAAATAATAATATGGAGTAATACATAAAAAATAAAATAAAAAATGGAAAAAATAAATAAAAATTATCAAGGCCTCAACTACTATATATCGTCTTAGCCATTTTTTAGCACCGCCACCTCTAGTCGCCAGAAAAGAATGCCAACTTAAAAAAATGTCATCGTGAAGGTAATTTTGAAAAGAAAGCTGGATATTTTCAAAGAGGCCTACATAGGAATTTGGCATTTTTTTACACAATATGACATTTTCCCCAGCGATCAGAACTAGTGGTGTTGGAAGGTGCAGGATGTGGTGGCAGAGGCCTACGCATTTTTTAATATTTTTTATGTATTTAATTTTTTTAGATCTTTGTAATTTTTAAATTTTTTTTAAATTATTTTATTTTATTTTTTCCCGTTTAATTATTCATTTAAAAATATTTTTTATTATTTTTATATTTTTTATTATAAATAAAACTACAATTTTCTTAGAAATTATAGGAAATGGGGTAGAATAGGAAGAAGGGGCATATATTACTCATATTTCAGGCATAAAAATTTATAGTCCTATTGTTGCATTTAGGACTATTTTAAGTCCTGGCTACTTAGACTTAATGGCCGAATTTTTAAAGGATGACAATGACATGGATTGCTTCTATTTAATTTAGGGATTAAAAATATAATTTTGCTATTTTACGGATACACATGCATTGTTCTTACAAAGGGGTTTTTTCTTTAATATTACTAAAGCTAATTATTAGGAACAAAGGGTTTTTTTCTTTAATATTACTAAAGCTAATTATTAGGAAAGGGAAAAAGGATCACATAAGCCTCTCTACTATTGTAAAAAAGTCATCTAAGCCCATATACTAAAAACATAATCAAGTAGATACATCTACTACTATAAATCAATCAAACAGGTCCACTAACCTGAAACTAACCTGCTATCACAAATCAGAGGCATTTTTTATTTTTCTTTTTCTTCACTTGCTTCACACTTCAGACATCCGGTTTTTTTCTTCCATTTTCTTTTATTTCTTGTTTCCTAATTGTAACCATCTTGTATTTTTGTTGCATGTGGAGAATCGTTTATTCCCTTATTTCAGCCGTCTTTCAATTGCTAACATTTTTTATTTACTTTTCTTTTTCTTTTGCCCCCTTATTTTTGTTTTCTATTTGTAGCTTCCCCTAAGAAATTATTGTTTTGACATTTCTTTCTAATTTATGTAGGAAAGATGCCAATTGTTACTAAAGGTTCTTTTATTTAAGAAAAATTTCACTTTTTAATTATTGCTCATATTGAAATCTAGTCATCGCTTTTAATAAACACAGTAAATTTTTATAACTTTGATACAATTAAGTAATTAACGCAGTAACTTTATATGCAATAAAAAACACACTTTCCTACACAATTTCAAAATCTACCGCACTTAATTTTGTTGGAGTTAATTCTACTTTTAGTCCAATGAGTTTTATGTAATTCCACATTCCGTTCACGTGTTTCACTTTTTCCATTTCTTATATTTGACTAATGTTTCTTGACCATTTTAGTCTATTATTGGTGACATTTGACTAATGTTTCTTGATCATATACCTCACCCTAGCGAAGTCACTGTAGATGGCCATTTTGGCTATTTTTACCCTATAGCCGATTTTTGTGCTACCAAACGGGCTCTAAAATGGTCAAGAAACATTAGTCAAATATCACCGATAACAGACTAAAATGGTCAAGAAACATTAGTCAAATACTATGAAGCTCGGATACTTCACTAGGGTGACGTATCGGCGTATCGGAAACGTTCCCGTATCCGACACTCTAGGGTATACCCATACTGTACGTTCCCGGGCCCGTATACCTGTACCGTATGTTCCTGGTACTTCGCTAGAGTACGATATACTCTAGGGTACTTTAGGATACACGTACCGTACGTTCCCGTATATGCAAATATAAAAATGGACAAAGTGAAAGACGTGAACGAAATGTGGAATTACATAAAACTCATAGGATTAAAAGTATAATTAATTCTAACAAAAAACAAGTGCGGTAGATTTTAAAATTGGGTAGGAAAGTGTCATTTTTTATTGCGTATAAAGTTATTGCGTTAATGGTTTTATTTATCCTTTTATCTGTTTTATCTTTTCCCCTCATTTTTTTTTCTTGTTTTTTTTTATCCTTTTATCCTTATATATATAAACATTATTTTTATCCTTTTTATTTTATCATTTTTAGGTATATTCATTTCTTTTTATATTATCTTTTTCATAATAAGTTATCTTTTTATGTTTATTTTCTTTCTTTTCCTTTTGGTGGTGATATCATGTATCGATTCATGTTAGCCGATCCCAATATCTTTTGGGATTAAGGCTTGGATTTTGTTGTTGTTGTATACATAATCAAATTATTACGTATAAAATGTTATTGACTTCCTATCAATATGAATTTCCAAAATATCAACTTTTTATAATGTTTACTAATACATAATTAAATATAATTACAGTCAAAGTTGTGTAGTGATAAACGTGAAAGTTGTTGCAAGAATTAAAGAACGGGGGAGCTAGGACAGTGTATAACCATGGATCTACGCTTTGATCTACGATCATCACATGGATGGAGGACCATGGACACCACCATGTTGATGTGGCAGGTGAATATGATACAAAATTTCTGGATATAAATTGAGGTTCTATATATTTCTAACTACTAGTTAATTCTACTGAAAATTTTATTTAAACATATACTTGGTATATAGAATATTCTCTTCTAACTAATGCTTTAACAATCAGGCCAAAAAAAAAAACTAATGCTTTAACAATCGTTTTCCAGACCACTGAAATGACTCGGAACTTTGAAATAATCGTTTTCCAGACCAGTACACCTTCAAAGCTGTAAAATAAATTCCTTAAAAAATGAAAAGAGTAGCAGCCAGATTGGTCTGCAATTAAATTGAAACAAATCTAATGTTTGTTAAAAGTTATGTGTTGTGTTACACATTATTATTATTATTATTATTATTATTATTATTATTATTATTATTATTATTACTCATTATATTCTCGTAGGGTACAATGATCATTGAGGGATGCCTCAATTATTTCCTCCTGTAATAGTATATATGCATGGCCTTAGGGCTGAATAATAAATCATCAAAAACCTTTCTATTCTTCCTTTCTTTGTATCGTGTATCAACAATTTGAACATGGTATCAGAGCCTTGTGATTTTGAAACTTTCTAGTCATATTTCTTCCTCTTCTCCATGGCTATTGGAGAGGATACAGTTCCTCCTGCTAAAATAGAATACACTTCACCTTACTTCTTGGGTCCTCAAGATAGACCCGGAGACTTTATCACTCTCATTCGTTTGACCAGAGAAAATTACAATGATTGGTCAAGTTCCGTCCAGCTTGCACTTTGCGCTAGACGTAAATTTGTCTTCGTCAATGGGGTTCTTAATGAGCCCGAGCCTCCTTGCACTAAAGAAGATTGGTCGACTATACACTCCATGTTGGTCTCTTGAATTTTGAATGTCATTTCGCCAGAGGTAAAACTTACTTTGTCTAAATTTGATGATGCAAAACTACTTTGGAATGATTTAAAAGAGCGTTTCTCGGTGATTGACGGCCCTGAAATTTATCAAGTTAAAACCGATATTGCTAGATGCGAACAATCTAAATCACAATCGGTTGCCACCTATTATGGAAAGCTTAAAGTTTTATGGGATGAACTCAATAATTATGAACCATTGATAAATTGCTCTTGCGGTAAATGTACTTGTAAGGTCAATATCTTACATGAACAACGCCGAGAATCCGAGCGATTTCATCAATTTTTAATGGGATATGATTATCTTCGGAATTTTATGGA